TTCGAGCTGCGGTCGACTGTGTAGGATCCACTTGCTGTGATAGTGCCCAGGAGCTGTACTATGGGGCCAGCCCTGAGGCTTCTTAAGGGGGAAGCTTGGATCATTGAATACGAATTTTTGGTTTTTGAGAGGTTTTTGCTATAGGGTGTGTGCGCTCGCCAGAAAGACAGAGAGACAGAACGTGAGAAATGCCCTCCCCCCAGGGAGGATGGCTACACTGCAATCCCTTCTCCTCCATTCTCCTCTCGGGATCTTGGGCACATACGCACACACGCCTGGTGTGAGTTTAAGCCACCGGGTCCGGGGGACTCGATCTGCGGTCGACTGCATAGGAGTTCAGCAACACAGCCATTACACCAACTGCTGGTCCTGAATATCTACTAAGTTTTGTTTTGTTTTGTTTTGCTATAGGGTGCATGCATTTGCTGGAGAGAAGTAGAGGGAAAGTGAGAAATCACACCTGGGGGGATGGGCTTGCTGCAATCCCTTCTCCATTCTCCTCCTGGGATTTGAGCGTGCATACGAGCCTGGCATGAGTTTCAAGCCAGCAGGTCGGAGATCCAGACCACATTTGGCTATGTGGAAGTCTAGTACCGTAACCACCATACCACCTGCTGGCACCAGTACTGACCAGTTCTATCATATATGTAATTTGTGACATTTTCCCCCCAGAGAGGATTTTGTGCCATAAGCTGCACGTGCTCACCAGAAACAGAAAGTGAGGAATCACCCGCTGGGGGGTTTACCACGTTGCAATCCTTTCTCCTCCGTTCTCCTCTTGGGATTTTGAGCACAGAAAATGTGCCCCGTGTGAGTTTCAAGCCACCTGGTTCAGGACTTGAACCACACTTGACCTTGTGGGAGTCCAGCGACATAACCACTACGCCATCTGCTTGTCCCCATTTGTGGCTGTTTTATTGATTGCGTTTTATCTTCATTATGGTCATATTTTCTTGCCTTTTTTTAAAAAATTTTTTTATGCTTGATAAATTTAGCTTGGGTACCAGACATGAATTTTAACATTACTGAGTGCTAGCTTTTTTGTTATTCCTTTAAATTTGGGGAGGCTTTTTCTGGGATGCAGTGAACAGGCGGGAACTAGTTGGCTCTTTTGCTGGTGTTGGGCTTTTGTGAGTTCAGAACAGCCCTTGGTCAAGGCCGCACTTAGTCTCACTACCGAGGATTCCATTCAGTCCTTTGGGAGTCAGGAAGCCTCTGGGCCCTGATACTCAGCCCTGGGTGAGCCCCGGTCCTCAAGCCCTGCATGGCTCTCACAGTGCTGCTGGCCCCTGTCTGGCCACCAGCTTCTGGTTTCTATTGCCTCGGCCTCCTTGAACCCCAAATTCTCTCTCCCCAGCTCTGGTTTGTCTGTCTTCTGTCTCCACTGCACCTGGAAACTCCCCAGTCAGGCTTTGGGAGCGATGATAGGGCTTCACTTCATTTCTCTGTTCTGAGAATCCTTCGTATGCCACCTGTTGTCCAGGAACTGAAGAGTGTCATTTTATATATAATGTCTGGTTTCCAAGCCATTGCGTAAGATAGTGGGTTGTCGGAAAAGACATGATGCACTTCTCTGTGTAAAAATGTGTCATGAAGGACCAGCAGTTGGCATAATGGAGCGATGATAGGGCTTCACTTCATTTCTCTGTTCTGAGAATCCTTCGTATGCCACCTGTTGTCCAGGAACTGAAGAGTGTCATTTTATATATAATGTCTGGTTTCCAAGCCATTGCGTAAGATAGTGGGTTGTCGGAAAAGACATGATGCACTTCTCTGTGTAAAAATGTGTCATGAAGGACCAGCAGTTGGCATAATGGCTATGTGGCTGGACTCCCGTGCAGTCGACTGCCATTCGAGTCCCGGACCCGGTGGCTTAAAACTCACGCC